TTATTTCAAAGCAGACCTATGAGGGACTTCAAATAACTGTCTATTCTGCTGTAGAATGTGTGCAGCAGCTTTTGAGAAGTGGCATGCCTTATGTTTTAATGGAGAGATTTAGCCAAGATGATTGTGAAGAGTATTTTTCCTGTCAAAGAGCCATTGGGAGAAGTAGTGAAAACCCAAATATGCAGCAATTTGGATACAATGCAAATAATATCCGTGTTGGTATGGCTGTTTCAACAGTTACAGGAAATACTAGCGGGAAATACCATGGATTAAAAAAGAAAAAATCATGGTATGAAATAAATGATTCAAAACTTAAGAAGCGAAAGACTAAAGACAATGAAAAGAAATAACAGTCTACTTTTTTTAGTTAACATTGGTTTAAATTTGTGTATTTTGACTGGCAAAATGTAGGGTAAAGCTATCCTTCTAGGGTAAAGATATCTTTCATGTTACTTTGTGAATAAGCCACCCTGTCTAACAGTTCTTTGAATCCTTTTTTAAGATACCCTCTGAAAGCTCTTAAATTAAATGAACCTTTACAAGCTTAATGATGACTGATTAATTCAACTGGGACCCCCAAAAACCCCATTCTGAAGTCGACATTAGATTTTTAGGCATTGGGATGATAGGTTGCATTGCAAAAAAGTTTGAATTTCTCAAACTTACTAGGGAACCACAAATTTGCAAATCTTTTAACCTACCAATTTGAAGACTTAAAAAACTAGCAAAAATTACACAGTATTACCTTTTAAAAGAACATTAACAATTTTGTTTGAAACTATAACTATAATTTTGTAAAAAGAGTATGTATACAAGGAACACTTTATTTCTTCTTAGATTTAGTATGATCAGTGTTAGTTTGCTTCAGTTCTTTTCTTAAGCTCTTTTTTTTCCCACTTGTTGTTTTGAGTTTTTGTCTGTTTATGATGTCCTTTGCATATGAAAATGACCTTACTCTCAAAAACAAGGTAAACATTTCCTGTAAAATGTTTTTGGCTAGTTCATCATCTTTAGGTTCATAAGCAGGGCAGTCTTCAAGAATACTTGAAAAAAGTTCTCTCACATTTAAGTCATCTAATAACTTATTGGTTATTGCACTAATTGCTATCAATGTTATATTCGCTCCAACAGTTGCTTCTCTAAATTTGCGCTCTGCAGCAAGAAACAAATTGGATACAGGCCTTTTAATGCCCCACAGACCTCCACGATTCACTGCTGATATCAAAAGTTGATCAACGAGATTATCGTCTTTGAAACATATGATGATGGACTTCGTGATTTCGTTTTGTGGAGAATCTGTTTTTATGCTGTAGTATAGTTTTCTCAACACATACCCACCAATGTATTGTATGCACTGTTTATCTCTGTCATTTATTCGTGGCACAGATGGTGCAGGTTGCTTTGAAACAGATTGAAACTCTGTCATTAACCTCTCACAAACAATAATTGCAAGCAAGGGGGCCTCATGTTCTTTTAAAAGTGGGAATAATTCTTTACTCTTGTTTACTACTTCGCTGTAATATTCTGCATAATAGAGTTCTTTGCTCTTTTTATCAACCAGCTTTGACAGAACTTTCTTTATGATATTACAAAATGACTCAGAAATAAAACCATCTTGAAGGGGATATCTCTCTTTACAATAAAGCTCAAACGAAGTATTGACTTCTGTTCCATAACAGCGATCGGCTGCAATTTCTTGACAGGCTACTTCCATAATAGATTTTAGCCTGGACTGTGGGAGGGATAACTTCTCATGTTTGGAGGCCTTGTGTCGCAGCAAACCGCGGACTGTCTTAAATGTTTTATCACAAGACTGACACTTTTCTTCCTTAATATTCATTTCCAGAATCTGAAAATTCAAAATAATGAATGAAATTGAAATAAATATGATTTTCAAAAGCGACAAGGTAAGGAAAATATGAAGAACTAAAACCGAACGGGCGAGAGATACACATTTGGCCTAAAACTTCGAAAAATTGAGGTAAAATAGTCACAGACTTTACAGTACCTTGTCGCCTGCCGTATCAAAATCTTCCTGTACTTCAATTATAGCATCAAGCTCACATATAAAAGCAAAAACCTCATCGTCTCCTACAAATTGAACATCCAAGTCAGCTTCCGCCATTGTTTCACGATTTCACCTTGGACGTTCTTTGGTCACGTGACCAAACTCTCTCGATTTTCAACATAAAACAAAGGCCCCATTGTTTAAGAAGTCAGTTTCCAAACCATTCCTTTTATCAACTATGGTTACACCATAGGACCCTCTACTTTCAAGTTAGGGGTCTGGAACACAAGCTTACGGTACCTTTGCCAACTACAAGATAAGCTGTATCAAAAAGTAAGAGATGCACTTGTATTGGGTTCCTTTTAAAAAGCCAATGACATTAGTAACCGAAGAAGAAGATAAGTTAAGACAGAAGTATCAACTGTCAGCTAATGCAAAAGGCAACAAAGCGAATCATTTAAAAACATTTTTGATATTTTGAAATTTTATACCGTCAAAATATTGTTCAAATTCTGCGGATGGGCGAAAAAAGTATATAGGACCTTATATGGAACTAAATGCCTTATAGAAATAAACAGGCACCAGAGAGCACAATTTTTGTGGAAAACGGGGGAATGTTTTGCATTTCCATTCTCAGTTTTCACTATTTATGTTCATGGGTCCTGGCTAAGCTAGTGTATCGGAAATAACCAATCACTTTCCTGGGAAACAAAAGGAAGTTCTTACGACCAAATACGGCAATGAATCGCTGAAAGCAGAGAGATGTTGTGAGCTAGATAGGAAGGGAGAGTGAAGGAGAGGTTGATCTGTCTGAAAGGCGTGGTGGAAAGCTGTGCCGAGGATATCTAAGAGCCTGTGAAATATCTGTTTCATAATTCGCGCCCAATAATGGTAAGCCACGTCCTTTTTGTGGTTCTTTCAATATGCCTTGTTAACTGTTGTTTTTCTTTAAATTTTCTGACCCAGAGATTGCTATTACAAAGGTCCGGTTTGGGGATGGCCTATGCACTTGCGGAGCCTTTCTGTTCCTGTCTTGAAAGGACTTTATCGTCGACTTTTTGATCAATTTGCTACTTGTCGTGAATTTTTGGCTGTACAATTGAAGAGGAAGTTTGGTACAGTGTTGATCTTAGCATCGGTGACAAGCCGAATGCATTTATTTGTAAAAAAGTTTATTTACCCCAAATTAGAGTTTGCGTTTCGTTTTAAACTTCCAAAATATTTTCATTTAAAGATTTAATGCTTTGAAGATAGGATGTCTCCGCCTTGATGGACGGACTTGTTTCTAGTTTAAGGGAGTCTAAATTTTTTCTGTAGTATAGGATTTACCGTATGAATTTTTTATTGTATTTTCGTTGAGAAATAGTTTCTCTAACTTTTTTGCTGTCTCTTTGTTTGAAATTTCACTGTTTTTAAAGCTTGTTAAAATAATTGTTTAATTGACTGTCTGAGCAAGGAAACCTGGCTCTATAGTGCTCTTAAAGTCATCTTCTAGCATCTATAAAATTTCTTCAAAAGTCTTTAATTTATTTAGCATGCACAACTTTGTGAATTTTTTAATCTGTCTTTTTTATTTGTATTGCATATCCAACATTATTGCACGGCCCATGCCACCAAGGGGGCGGGGGGGTGGTGGAGTGGTCATGGCTCCCCTTTTTGGTAAGAAACAATATTTCCAGGCCCTGTTTTGAAGCACTAATTTCAAGTTTGACTTGTAGAACTTGGCCCCTCCATCTTGAAATTTATGGCATCAGTCCTGGATTGTAATTACCTTTTTATTTGGTTCAATGAAATGAAATAAAAATGAACATTCCTGTGTCATCAAGCAAAAGGTCAGCTAATGTCATTTACAAAGGAAACAGCATTGACAGATATGGTTGTCAGAAAGCATGACATATTGGAAATTATACCATATATTTTATCATATCATTTCATATATTAGATCTTGAAATGTAATATTTGATTAATAATGAACACAAATGAGTTGTCTTTGCAATATGTATATAATTTAGACATTGTTGTGTTGAAAATAATAGCCCTAATATCGCACTAAATTGTAAAAACATGCTAGGCTCTGTTTACATATCAACATGAACACACCAACAGACTGAGTCAGGCGCATAGCTAGCGGGGGTGTAGGGGGGTATGACAACCCCTCCAATTCTTGATGAATTTGTTGGTAAGTTTTTAGTTACAAAAATCTGTTGGTGAAATAGTATATACCGTAAATCCTCAAACTAGCCCAAATATTTTTGAATGGGGGCTTATTTGAGGGGGGGGGGGG